TTCCTTACTATCTCATAGCGCTTATGCCTAGTATTCTCCTTAAACAATCTCTTACACTTTGTTATGATGTCAAAAGCTTATAAGCTTTTATATTGGCGTCTATGCTCCAATGTCATAGCAACAAGCATTATGCTTTGTGTAGTGATTGCATCATCTTTATGTTTGATCCATGCTTTATGAGCTCCAACTTGAACTAGAGGAGGCTCATACGGTAGAGCTTTCTCTATTGTATAGAGAATTTTTTCATCTTTGGAGGACTATCGTCAAATTCATTTCTCGGTTGAGGAAGTTTATGCCATTGAAGGCATTACTTCCATCAATGATCGATCATCTTAATGTGTTACCGAGTCATACTGTGCAATCCGAGAGAATAGAAAAGCATACGATTTGGTTAATTAAATTACATAAAATTAAACAAGGCATAAATTAATGAAGTAAAATCTATATTTGTTCTCATTATTTTCTTCAAGTTCTATAACCTTCAATATAGTGCTTAAGAAAAATTTTTGATTCATTTTCCTAGTGGGTTAGGATCTCATCCTCTAACATGTATTAGCTTTAAGTTATCTCAATAATCCATACATGAATGATAAGGTAGGTAACTCCTTACCAATTACATCTAATGTAATTTCTAATTCCATTGTTATGATAACTCTTTGTGTTTATTACATCTTATATGAATACCAATCCTTGCTTACAAGTTCTACTGGACCTTGATTTATCTCAATAATCCCAACAACTCATTTAAGTTCAATCCAACATTTAGAGACATCGCACAACCTATGATTCCTAGGTGAAAAATTATTACAAATTCTTTATGAATGTCTTCATTCCTTGGCATCTTCCTTTTGTATTTATTATAATTCCTATCTTCTACTTTTATATTAATTCGAAATAAGAAATCTCGAGGTATATTTGAGGAGAGTAAAATGAGAAGAGAAATACAATAGAGTAATAGAGAAGACAGGACATGTAAATCCTATTTATCCAAAAAATAAGCATTCATTCATAAAACTAGGTCGACTCATCCATACCATTCACTCATGCTTCAATTACATTGATACATGACATACTAATGAAATAATTTCATTCATAAAACGATTATAAATCTATAATTTTTTTTCATTTTATAAATTTATCAAAAAATTTTAAATTTTAATTTTAAAAACTTTTAGGTCTTGGGTCCACTTTGGGCCTATAGGCTTTTGGCCTTAAGGGTTCACGGGTTTCAAAGTCCAAACCCTTGGGTTCACGTGCATGTATACATCTATCCACGACCATCGGCCTAGAACGAAAGCGCCTAGCCGGTGGCCTGCTACTTTGCCTATGCATCTAGCACAAGGTCCGACGGGCTAGTAACCTTGCCTACTTGTGCACCTAGCGTTCGGTCTTACCGGCCTACTTGCTATGGGCCCAATGCGGCTGTGCGCGGTAAGGCTGCCATACACGTAAGTGTTGACATCCAATATCGACCTCACATATTTATATAAAACTCCAAAAACATTTAACCTTATCCAATAAGGTTGATGTTTATCCTCCCACTAAAATATCTTAAGGCTTTTAATTAAACATAATGGGCCAAAACTATTTTAACCTAATTAATTTGTTTGGGCTATCCTAATAAATATTCTTAGATTATTTTGACAAGGTCGACATTAGGAAGTAATTTTTCAAAATACCCTTTAACCTAAATTAGGAAACTCTTTTCCTTTTAGGTTTTTTATTTTCAAATTTGAAACTAACTTTCAAATTAGGAAATCCATTTCTAAAATAGAAAACTTTCCATTTTAGAAACTTCCATAATTAAGGAAACTTTTCATTTCGGAAAACTTTTTATAATTGGAAATTTTTTTTTAATATTTTTGATTCTCGTTTGTAATATGAATACTTAAACTTATGTGTGTGACTCAATAGGCCCTTAAATATGTTTGTAATGTATCAATAACAAAGACTCCTCTTTTATCTCTTGATACATACATCAAGATTGGCCGCTAGCAAGGTATCATGACTACCCAATTCTCTAAGAGGATTAGTTAATCCATTATTACCTTTCACGAGCATGGTTACCATACAATTCAATCCTTATATCAAGTTATCATAGTGTGATCTCGAACTTAGTTATTAGTCTTTTTTTATTATGATCACATAAGTTTTCTTCGATTCCCAAATATCTTAGCTCTTAGAGTAAACAAACTATGCTCTATTGGTGTAGTCCTACTATGGCTATAGATTTCTCGAGAAAATATTTATCAAAGTTCAAATATGATAACTCCTTTAGCATACAAGGAATGACATGTCCTATCTTAGTCATACACATACCTCCATTGAATTCCTAGTTCACCCAATGAATCGTTCACGTGTAACCCATTAGTGGATCCATCGAAACAAGTGTCAAAGTGCATAAGTCCTCCAATGAGATAACCGTAATGATTTCAAGTCTAAGGACCAGTTGTACCCATCTCTTATGAGATTACTATAGGCTAAAACCAAATGGGTTCTTATGACGAGTCGAGTCTAGTGATATGTTCTCTAACATAAATTACTAAAGTGCTTGCTTTGCCATCGCCATACTAATAGATGTGAGATCTCCTACTACTATCATATAGCATAAGCATAGCATTCACAAGTCTATCCACATTGTCAATGTTCATTCTTAACAATGCTACGACTTAGGATATTTAATGATATCATTTATGTGCATTAGGGTTTGTCTCACATCTTTTGATCAATCACTATTGCAAATGCATATCATAAGGACTTCTATCAAATTCTACTCGAATTTATCAATATTTCAACATAAGAATTAATAGAATGACTTCTTTATTGTTATTAAAATAAATGATGCAATAATACATTAACATGAGCTCATCAAAATATGGTTGGATCTTGGACACCAACATTAACACGACTCACTGAGACCTATCCCCTTTTCTTTTTCAAATTCGATGTCGTCCTACCAATATCACCCCTATTTGTATCCCAACCTCATAACCACCATCCTAAACCATTTGGAATGAAAAAAAATTATTGAAGAGCTAGGGATTTGAAATAGAATCCACTCCAACCAACTTGAATTCCCTTTCCTCCTAAACTCGATCATTTTCTTTTCGTAAAATCGAAGGCGACAAGCACTACATAACTCTTCCTCCACCCATCGGTATTTCATCCCTACCAACGGATGTGAAGGAAAATGGTAAGGGAATGAGGAAAATGATTGCGATTCGGATCCGTATGACTCGTGGATCGTAACTCATTTTTCTTTCCTAATTTTCGGTCAAATCGAGACCATCCAATGATCGAAATAATTGTCCAATAGTAGTCCTAAGAGCATCACTTGGTTTAATTTAGACCTTTAAAAGCCATTAAATTTAGTCAAAATTTATTAGAGAAGAAGAAGAAGATCGACCAAAACTTGTTGGCCGATCTCTTCCCTCAAGTAGCGATGGTTTTTACCGCCGAGCCGAGGGCTCTATATGACCTTTCATGATATGGAAGAGTGGTCCACACATTGATTGGTGCTCGGATGGGCAACAATGACATCTAAAAGTAAGCAAGGACAATTTTATGTTTTTTGACATCGAGGGTAATTCTATCATTTTCTAAATAATAAGGATATTTTTACTATTTTACGGGGGCATTTTAGTCACTTTTTTAGCAACCATTTGGTTTGTTTATTTTATCTTTATTTTATTAATTCTTGTGTTATTTTGTAATAAATAATTAATTTTAGGTGTGTTAGAAAATGTAAAAATAGTTAGATTGTAAATTTTATTTTAATATGTGGATTTTCATTCGGTTGTGATGTCGGACCAACAAGTCTCTAATTTATAAGGATAGACGAGTTGTGTCGATATATTTTATCCAATAATAAAAATGCTAATAAAAGTAACACCTCTTTTCTTTATTAGATTAATTAGGAAAATTGAAGTCGACTTAACGAGTCTTCTATTTGAATAGCAAGCGATGTTGGTCTAGACCCATAATAACAATAATATGAATGAAATAAATGAAAGATAATTAGTTAGGATAAATGTAAAATCTGTTTAAACACATTTGGCTAATATGGTCATTGCTCGATATGCCGATCATGTTAGGAGGTAATTAGAACCGATGTTAAATTGATCCGACTCTCGGCTTTAGATCTCGATGTCAATTTAATATGATGTTATAAATAAAAAAATTGAAAAATAATTTGACTTAGATGCCAAATAAACTTGGAAGCAAACTAAGGAAATAATTTGACAAATATAATTCTTAAGAAATATATTTAGAACAAAACCAAACAAGGTATGTTTTTCGAATAAGGTGTTTTTTGGGTGATTATTATCTTTTCAAAAGCATAATTCGCATCTTAGCAAAGAATCTATAAATCTAGTACCCCTTTAGGTTTCGATTTCCTTTATTACTAAATGGTTACTCCAAAGCTGTTTCCTTAATTCTTTTTTCCTTTTCCATATATATAGAATTTTTTGAAAGTCTATTAAATGTCCGATAGTGACAACTATAATAAAAAATTAAAAATAGACAAGGAATTAAATGAAAAAATCGATTTTTGAATTTTAAATTTTGAAAAAACAATAAAAATTGAGGATTAAAACTTTTTATGCCAATTTATAAAGAAAAATGAACCAAAAGAGGTCAATTGAGACAATTCTTATCATGTTTTATAGTTGCAGAGTAGTACTGCTAACAATTAATAATGCTATGCTTATTCAAATGTTCCGAACACCCATTTACATTATATATATATTAGTTTTTTAATAGACCGAAACTAAATTCCTCCTACACATATGTTGCTTAATTGATCTTTAGAAACAAATATAAGCATGATGACCAAGTGGAATGAATCATGTTAGGAGCCTACAAAAATAAATATTGAATAACACATCCACATTAATTATTGAAGCAAAGTAACAAATGATCAATGCATACAAATCAATGATATTTAGTTTGTAAGTTGTAACTAAGCTAGGTTGAGATAAATCATAAAGCAGACAATTTTATATCGAAGTAGCCTCACTACCCCATGATGAAGGGCAGAAGGCTATAACATACTCATTGGATGCACAGTTCACCAATGGGGCAGGCGAATCAAAAGCATAGCTGTAATAATAAGGGCAGGCAGCTTTAAACATCTTTGAGTACACGCTTGGCTTGCATTTCTCAGGGCTTCCATATTCATTCCTGCAACAAAATGAATCAAGATTGAAAGCCAAGCAAGCGCTTTTGCATGCCACAATTTTCCCATATCTGTTAAGGACTTGAAGCTCCGCAGGGCAAGAATTTTTCAAATTTTTTGAGCACCCTCCGACGGTACATTTAGGTGAAATTTGCTTAGTTGTAACCGCAACAGGAAGGTTATATCCATCAACCAAGCTCACGTCATAAAAATTTGGCATGCTTTTATCTGCCTGAAGTGATAATTGCACAAGTGTAACTGGAGGTGTGCCTATCAGACCATTACATGCTAGTCGTCCATCGCAATCACCGGTTTCACAGGCAGGCTGCCAATTGGAAGCGAAATTGCAGCCAGTTCGGGCCCAAATTCGGCCGCTCCAATCCCATGGAGCGTATATGCGTTGAGTTTCACCTGCGGGGAGGTAGAATCCACCATCGGCAATTACTGGATGGCCAGTGTTGGGGGCTGTTGCCGGCCATATTGGAAAGGGGCACTTGTTGTGCACATATAATGCAATTTGGTGTCCTAATGATTGGCCTGCAATAGTAATACATATTAGTATTGTTGTTCGCAATTAGACTCGTAATATTATTGAGACATCTGTAATTGTTGACATGCATGATGGAAAAGTTTCGTACAACACACAGACACATATATACAGAGTAAGAAACAAAAAAATGCCAGCCAACATTGTGATGAAGTTAATTAATTACCAAATAACAATGAATGGCATATCAGGAAGAGAGAGAAAGCAGCGGTATTCCACTCCAGCACCTTCATTTTGAACGCAATTAGTGAAAGAGAAAAAGTCGTACAAATACTATTTATAATTAGAGAATTTGACAAAGGACATCTCCCTGCTTCTTCAATTCTACTCTAAGACACTGGTTGATGGAAACAAAATTTTAAAGATAAGAAATTAAAGTGCCATGTCTCAGGTTTTTTTTTTTTTTTTTTTTTTTTTTCCCTTATCGATTATATATCCTTCCTTAAAAGGAAAACCTAACCAAGTGGAGTATCAATTAGAGGTAGACATCTGTACAAAAGTTTAGACATTAAACAATGTGGATTTTGCTTTACGAGTGGTGAATCATACGTCAAACATTATTTAATTAATTAATCTTGTTGTATTTATCATTAAAGCCTCTCATTTTTCAAACTTTTGTAGAAGGATTTTCGCTTAAAGAGAGCTCCGTTCTACCAAATTATTTAGAGTGATTTTTACAGGCAGGTTGGATACAAACTTTGGCTTATATTAAGATTTCTTTTACTATTTATATATTTATTTTTTTTGGAAAAGATTAACACTGATAATATTATGAGATTAAAGAGAGATCAGTTCTACCAAATTATTTACAGGGATTTTGCACGGTGATTAGATAAAAACTTTGGGCTCTGGTAAGATTTCTTCTACTCCTTTTTTTTTTTTTTAATTATTTTTTGAGGAACAAGTCAACACTAATAATTTTAGGAGATTCTGCTATGCATGATTGACGCAATGTACATTGAAGGATATTAAGTTTATTACAACTAAAAAAAAAAAAAGGGTAAAATTTGCGAGTCTCAATAATTTTAGAATAATCGATAATGATGGCCAAATGTCTACAAACAGCTTAAATAGTCTATCTTAGTTTATTGATATTTAAACTAAATATTAATATCGACTAAATATCTATAATTATTAATATAAATACCGAAAATAAGAAAAGAAATAAATCAAAAAGTTTCAATCCCTAAATTAGAGCAATTTGGGTTGGTTCTGTGGGTAATCACAAAAAACCTAGACAGTAGGTTTTTGGAGTGGATTTTGACGTTAAAAATGTCTATGACCATGATCATCATTAGGCTGTGGATTTTGAATCAAAAGTTATGGCTCGTTAAAAAAACAACGAGCGCTTGACCTTTCAGGTTGTCTTCTTGGACTTCTATATGTCGACGTGGTCTATGGATTCTTCAGCTAGATGCAAACTGAGTTCCGGATACAATGGTGCATCTTCTTCATAATAATGATAACCTTACACATTCAATGTTTTAGAGATACCCATACTGTTTGGCAGATCAGCCACAGAAGTATTGGCATTGATTTTCTACAGAATCTGATAATGACCATATTTTTTAAGCTAAAGATTGCCATACATTACAATTGGAAACCTTTCATTGCATCGCCTTCAATAAACACTTTTCTCCTACGATGTTTATCTGCGGCAGCTTTGTGTCGAGCATTGGTTTCCTCCAGCTGTTGTTGAACCTCTGCCCTTAGTGGTCTACATCTACTCAGCAAGTTTCTCTGCAACAACATTATAATCTAAACCCTTTGCAACAGGAGCTAAATCCAGAATATACCTCGAACTCTATATGTAAACAATCTAAAACAGAGACTTACAAATAGCATTATGTTTGGCATTATTTTAGGAAAATTCAGGTTGTGCTAGAGAAATATCCCACAACTTGGGTTTGTCTCAACAAATGCTCCTAATTATATTGCTTAGAGTTCTTTTATCGATTTAGTATGTTTGTCCGCCTACGGATGTGCTATGCTTGCTGAAGCTCGGAGAAGAATTATAAATCCTCCACAAAGTCCTCCAAAAATGGCTAAAGAATTTGTTGTCTCTATCCCAATGTCACGGACTTGGCCTTTCCCAAGCTCACGTGCGGCACTTGGCTCTCTTCTTCTCTAAGACAAACCAAGTCAGCCTTCCTCACACAAAGTTGCTAAGCAAGAAAGACACACACAAGAGGTATAAAATACTCTTTGTATTGCTTTCTAAAAGCTTACAACTCTAAAGACACACTCTCTTAAGTTTATGAATATCTAGGTGTCTTGGCCAAGTGAAGGCCTCACCTATTTATAGCCTTCCACCTCCTCAATGGATGGCTAGGATCTATTTAATCTAATGGCTACAATTAGTTCTCTAGAAATATCCTACCTAGATATTTACATGGAACTATCTAGATATTCACATGTTAGATTAGTGAGGGACTCTCTAGAATTCTCTAGATCATCCTAGAGACTTCTCCAATGCTCCATATTCTTCTAGAAGCTTCCAAACTTATCTAGAGGCTTCTCCATTGTTCCATGCTCTTCTAGAAGCTTCCGGACTTATCTAGAGGCTTCTCCATTGTTCCATACTCTTCAGAAGCTTCCGGACTTGTCTTGTGTTCTCTAGAATTTCTAGAAAAATCCCTCTTTTAGGCGGAGCGTAACACCAAGTTATGGACTTTGGTATCCTGTCTTGTAATCTAGCAACTTCCCCGAAAAAGTAGTCTAGCAATGTTTGTGGCATCCGAGAACTTCTTGCGTGGAACGAAATGAGCCATCTCGGATAACTTGTCCACAACAACAAAGATAAAATTTATGTCTCACTTGGGTTTCGAATAATCCAAGAATAAAATCTATAAACGGATCCTCCCGGATATTTTTCGGAACGGGTAAAGGCTTGTATAATCCTATATTCGAGAGCTTACCCCTTAGTAGTTTGGCAAACATAACAATGCTTGCACAAATCATCCCCCATCTCTCTTCAAGTGAGGCCATAATACTCGTCAAGAACAACATCAATGTTCTTCTCTCTGTCCATGTGTCTTGCCAAAAAACCACCATTCAAGTCATTGATCGCTTTCTCCTCCGAGAAAGATGTGGAATACAAAACTAACCGCCACGTATGAGAAACCCCTTATCGGTACACCAAAAGTAGGTTATAGAGGCAAAAGTCTTGGAGTGGTCAAGAAAACCGGCTCAAAATTAATAAATTTTTTTCATACAAATAAATATGAGGCGGTTCATAAAGCCGCCCCACTTCTAATACTTTTGACAGTACGATGCCTCTCTCTCTCTTTTAGATTCTCAAAAGCCAAAAGAACGCTTCACTATCCCGCACCTCTTTGACTTCTATGTTTCATATCTAGCTTTTTTCTGCTTCTATTTTTCAATTCGATTATTTTAGGTGAAAATCACATCCCAATTGTGATTATTTAGGTTTCTTCTTCTTTTGCATTTTCTTCTTCCTCTCGAGTTTTACGTTCGATTATTCTAATCAGATTTGCTACTAAGAAACACATCCTACTCTAATCTCTCCTCTACCCATTACCCATTTCTAACTTCTATGTCACCACTCGCAAGGAAAAAAAAAAAAACAAAAAAACAAAAGAAACCTACAAAAACCACTCGCTTTACAACAATGGCCTTTTTAGTATGCTCTACAAAAACCTTCCTCTTTCTCTTCCTCATTTCAGCGGTTCCTATTGCCTTTATTATCTCTATAGAGCTAGCCAAGCTCGAACCCAAATGTACCACTTGATAAGTATAATTTATACATATATTTTATGTAAACTTGGAACTTAAACATGTTAATTATGCGTGTAATATATGTTTCATTTAATATAAATTAATTCTCATGTACTTTAAATTGGTAGATACAAAGAATTAAGAGAAGACTAAAAAAGTAAGGCAAAAACAAAGATCGAAATGAAAATAAAAAACAAGTGTTTGACTTTGACACTACAAAAAACCATTCATCATATTCTATAGGAAGACTTACGTGGTGGACTAAAAGGAAAGAATTTTAGGCATAAAAGAGGTGGAGAGAGAGAGACAACTAAAGGGAGAAAAATAAAGAAATAGGAAGTTGTACCGGGAAAGCTAAAAAGCCAAAGAAAGTGGATATGCATGAATAGAAGCAGATTTATGGAGTTGCACGACACTAAAAAAGGAGGCTTTGGCACAATAGTATAAAGGAAATCTTTTGCATGGCGAGTAGGGAGTTTTTTTTTGTTGGTTTTGGCACTTGCACCTGCAGAGAGGAGGATTGCACGGCCGGAGAAAAGAAGGAAATTGGAGACTGCAGACGGAAGAAAAAAAAACTTTAGAAGCATACGGATTCATTAGACAAGTAATTGAATTTTCTTTAATTATTATTATGATGGATTGTCAATGCGATATTTTATTTTCAGATCCAATAAATTTCTTTATAGAGAGATAAACTGTTAAGTTAGGTATGGATGATTTTAATTCTTATTTTATGTGATTAATTATTTTTCTCAACTCAAGACTCGATTTTCGATGTATGATGAATTTATATTCTTGAATTTAATGCTTTAAGAGAGTGATAACCTCCTATTCATTTAATGACATGTGCTTGAGCTCGAGAGGAAATTGTCTATGTTAGATCATAACAATATAAATCACTAGTTTACTATTAATCGAAAGACAATTAGTTCTAATGCGATAATGAAAAAGAGAAGTGCGTGATGGCATACTTATTTTACATTAGAGGATTCCATTGATTCTAATACATTTAGATCTTAATTTAAATCATATAGAAATATGGATGATTTGTTAGGTGAAGAATATGATTAATCTTACTAGAGATAGCTTATTAACTTGTTTAGAAAATTCCGTCATCACATATATTAAGATAGACTTTAAGGTGGGTTGTGAGTTGAAATAATAAAATTGATTGAACAAGTTAGAATTAAATGAACCTATCTCTAGTTGCTTTCATATCATCTTGTTAGTAATTTTCAATTCTACAAATTTGGAATAGAGTTCTAATTTAATTTTTATTCTTTTAATTATTTTGATTAATTCAACATATTTTAAGTTAGATAATTTTAGTAGTGTAATTTAATTTCTCGTGGGAACGATACTTTCTTACCCTTTATTGCATGATTAGATTGGATTTATTGCTTATCCGATTGTGTTAAAAAAGCAGTAGCAAATTTTTGACGCCGTTGCGGGGAGTGATAATTGCATATTGAGATTTATAATTGAATTAAGATTG